ACCCGCTGCCTCTCAATTGAAGTCATCCAGCTGCTTGAAAAATATTAATCTTTGGTCACGAGATCATCTGTGTATGGTGGATGAGGCCTAGTGTCGTAGCCTGCCTCCGCAGGGTTGGTTGTGCGGTAGAGGGTTATCGTGAAGAAATATTGACCCCAAAGCTGAATTTACGGAGCACGCTATATAATTGGGTTGCGATTCGCAACCTCTATTGTGACCTCGACTCACTTTGAGGTAAACCTCGGTCATTCCGATCTCGAGGACGGTACCCCGAATGGATATATTTGGGTGTTGCTTATCCCAACGCTGGCACATCACGACCGCGGTTTCGTCTTGGTTTAGACTCGTCAGGGGGGAGATAGCCTGAGCTGGGATGGAACTCAGAGGTTAATAGTTCATGGCTGACGCCCTGAACACTCTGCTACTGAGATCCGCGAGCAACTCAGGTTATCTCCACCTGACGAGTCTAAACCAAGACGAAACCGCGGTCGTGATGTGCCAGTGTTGGGAAGAGTAACACTCAGAAATATTGATCCCCTGCTGTGAATATCAGTGCTTGCCACATGTTGAGGTTTTCGGTGCATTGCTGGAATTTGTTGACAATACTGCTTCTCTGCTGTAATGGTTTCGCCTGGACTCAGCAAATTGTAATGGATCGATCAAACCGCCAAACATTTACCATCACCTTTTTGGGTGCAGTTTCGGTTTTGGAGATTGCTGTGAAGCCTGATCTTGATCCAACTATTGAGCAGTCCCTCCTCGATTGTTGCAAAGTGTCCGCTTTGCATCACACGTCACAATCCGATCGAGAAACGGGTCGTTTTTCTTTGTGCAGAAGAAGTGCAGAACGACGTTTTTTGTCTTTCCATTTATTTCGTGTGGCACCCACTTATCATGCTTTTACAACACTCCAGTCTCCCGTAAACGCTTGGAAACTGGCGCATGGGACATTTTGAACTCAGACGCAAGATGTCGACCAGTTTTACGCGGATCCGCTTCAACTAAGACCTTTAATTGATCATCTTTTACTTTCGATGGCCATCCACAACGCTCTTAATTTTCAAGTGTCTCGTAACCTTTTCGAGTTTTTTAAACCACCATTGCAATACTATCATTAGTGGTTCCAGGATCAAATGCACTGCTGATATCACGAGCTGTTTCCGCTACCTTTCGATCAACTCTAAATTCTGATACGCGAATTATACGAATTTGTCTTCATGTTATCTTACAAATAAATAAATAGTTTACTCTCCAACTCATCGAGCCACACCAAATCATGCGTGATCAGGTGTGCAAGTGTGAAAAACATGTTTTTTGGCTAAACTCTCACGTACTTTGCAACGGTACACAGCGTCAAGGTAACTAATAAAAAATAATCCGGAGAAAGTTAACATCACAAACCACAATAATTTTCTTAACAACTTAATACTACTTCTTATTACATGAACCCTTGATCGCATAACTCATCCTGTGTTTAAGAGCGCGCGCTTGTGTTTGTGTATCCTTCTGCATTGGTTAGCTTGTAACTCTCGTTTCCATTTATACTTCAACTATCTATTTTATGGAGTTGCATCTGAACCCCCCACTTTTCCTCTTGTATGTCCTGGTCGCACAATTGTCTACTTGCGCTTCTACGCTGGCTACATACTCACCTACATCTTCGAGTTACGAAACATTACCTTTTCCAGTGATTTAGCACGTATTAGCAACGGAGCCCAATGGCCTGGCGATCATGACGATAGCCGCCAACCACTATTTGCCGAATTCCACTCCTAACTCAGGGAATCTCTATCTGCTGAGTCTAAAACCAGGACGAAACCACCGGTCGTGGTGCTGGGATGGGAGAGAGCCACACGGAACCCCTCCATTACGATGATGGTCCCAGTTTTAGGACTGATAGGGGTTGACTTCAAAGCCCACCGAGGCCACAACTGGAATCGCGTGTCGCAATCCGATACACACGGCGGATGCTCCAGAACCCGACCATCAACTTGTAACCACTGCTCCCGGAGCACAATAATCTAGTGATCATGGAGATAGCCACCAACTACAATGTGCCGAGTTCCACTACCAGCGCTGGCTATCTCTACCTGACGAGTCCAGACCAGGATGAAACGCGTCGTGGGGTGCGCTAATGGGAGAGAATAGCACCGGAACTCTCCAAATGTTGCTTCTCCCATTGTTATGAGTGATTTCAAGTGAGTACAGTGGACAGCTTCGCATAGTATAGGCTGAGTCTATCATGCCCGATCCCAGTCGGACGACAATCAGACATGCAGTACGTCACTGTCAGTTATCCGGTCCTGTCGGGAATAGTCAGTAGTGCACATTTAATATGCTTCCTTTGCGGGCGAAACCCTCGACTCTTGCAGGTCATTGGGTAATGTGGTGGTAGGATGCCACACTAAGCATGCGGCATGTTTATCATGCTGTTGGGATTCAGCATTTGGTGCCAAAAGTGCGAAAGCTCGTCGATCGCTGCAGAGGCGAACTGAAGGATAGTAGGCAATCGATTTAGATCAACCTGAACGAAGCTCGAATGCTGACCAAGAATGTAATGACAGGGAGATGTGTTCTACATCAGTGAGTGGTTCTACTTGAGTCGAAATATTACATGCGTTTCTGATCTATGAATCATGGATTTCAGGTAGAGACCCATACTTTGACTGTTTTCTTCACGGAGAGCCACATACTATGTTGTCAGAGGTGTCGCACTTTATGCCGAATCTTCTGCAAATGACAGAAAGCCCATTACCGGATAGCTGGAGGGCGTGGAAAGCGAAATGCATGGATTTCGCTACACTGACGTCGTTAGATGAATATTGGAATTCATATCAAATAGCGATCTTCAGGTACTGCATCGGCGAAGATGCGAGACGAATATTGGAAACCTTGAAATTCTGCGATTATGACGAAGAACCGGATCTTTTAGAAATAATCGAGTGGTTTGGTGATCTTTTTGAAGGCCAATCAAACATTTTCGCTCGCTGCTACTGATCGACTAACGTTAGCTCACTTAATACTGAAAATCGACGGGAAAAGCATGCGATTTCCATAAATAACCGGTGGGATCACGAAGAGGATGAAAGGATTATTGCGACATCGTCAACGCAAGAACGATCAGTACTGTTAAGACTTGATTCAATAGGTACCGTGAGTACACTGTTCGAGACACGCTACATCGGAGTGCTGTTCAGTGTAACCCGGAGTTGTCACAAAGGGTGGAACAACTTGCTGATACATCCGGAAGGGAAGACAGTTGCGAAAGTTTTCAAGAAGGCAAAGGATCGAATTATCAAGGTAATACAGACGCATACGGATCCTTATGTAATACTACTTGGAAGCAATGCCCCTAGCAAATTTAGCAACAATCCGGTGCGGTTTCTATTCAAACACGAAGCAGACTGAAAGCTTGCCCGCAGTGGAAGAGGATACGGAAACTGAAACTCACTAACTATGAAAAAATGTAGGATGTGTTGGGGGGATGGGATGCCACACCGAGCATACGGCGTGTTTATTGAACTGTCGAAATTCTGGATTTGGTGCCAAAAGTCCGAAAGCTGGTTGATCGCTGCAGAGGCGAACTGAAGGATAGTAGGCAATCGATTTACATCAACCTGAACGAAGCTCTAACGCTGACCAAGAATATAATAGCAAGGAGGTGTGTTCTACACCAGTGACTGGTTCTACTTGAGTCGAAATATTATATGCGTTTGGTTTCCATGAATAATAGGTTTCTGATCGAGGCCTAGACTTTGACTTTTTGCTTCACGGAGGGCCACTTGACAGATAACTCCACTGGATCGCGACGGACAGATATCTATGATCAGCATGATTGAGATACTAGATGTGATCGTAACTCGGGTCATTCGTCTCCACAAACTTGCACTTTACTGCTATTCAGGGGACAGAGTACTTCCCATAGCACCGGTCTACAAAATCTTGGCCCTCAATCGATTTATCTTATTGTATGCACTTTGGGAGATTTACCAATCACCTGGGCGTGTAGTATGGAACTTTGGATGTTGTAAGTTGAAATCGTTATGTAGTTTGGGAGCTGGAACACATAAGTGGAGCATTGGAACTGTGGGAGAACCCTTTTGACGGAATACCCTGCTTGGAAGCATTTCCCTTGGGGATGGTTCCATGGATAGCCATGTTATTTTAATTGAACATTTGATTAAATCTGCATTTTTTCTTGTTCTCAATTTTTCACTCTCTCTGATGTTTTCAACATACCATTTAATTTACCAATCTGTTTGGGATCCGTCGTATAAAAAGGCATCAGCAGTGCGCCGGCAAGCAGTACTGACTCTTCGCTACCGCGCAGTCACTGCCAGTTGCACGTGGACTAAGGATACTGCGAGGGTCGTCCTGTCCCTATGCGTCCTGGAACCCGCGCCCTCAGATTACAAGGCAAGCTTGTCATCCATCAGGCTACGGGCCCGATCCATTGTGTAAACTACGAACAAAATATCTGTTTTGTGCGGTCTCATAGAAATTGATCAGACCACTCAGTTAAACTGTGCCTTACATTGTCGAAAACTATGTCGTTTATTTTTTTTCCATCTGTTATGCTCCATCGTTATAATGTGGGGCACTCACGCGGAATTAGGTTGATACTTACTGTGCACTGTCAACACAACTCGGCTGTGCTATGAAATTCTAATCAGCTACGATGCGTTCTCGAAATCTCTAGTTCACTCAGCTGGCATCTAGGAATCTTCAGAATTCGAACACCTATTTTTCCTCGACTATTGCGTCGGGCAAACTGGATGCATGATGGCCCCCTTACTAAGTTAAGTTTTATGAATTTAATTTGTGTCCTGAGTTAAAATGACGGGCATTCTCACTGAAGTGTAGAAACTCTTAGTTTGTGTGCATTCCTACGACCCGCATACCTTGGGTTATCATATCCTTCACCCTGAGAGATTCAGCAATGATCTGTCACTATAACTGTCTTCCCTTTCTCTCGTCTTTTCCCTATTGTTCACATCTAGGTTTGTGTGGGCACCGTTTGCAGTCCGGATGCAGCTCACCCGTACATCGTTACCCTACCTGCCTGCTTCTGGCCTGGTGTGGAGCTACACCATTTGATTATTTGGCGTCCTCCAGTCCCTCCCGGGATCACCTCGGCAATGGCTGCGGCTGAAGCGACTACTCGCCGTGGGGGTTGGCTTGCGTGCAGACCGTGTATGCGACTCGCTCCGGGCACCGGGAAACAGATGTTCGCTCAGGTTTTTGTCAACAACCAACCGTTGGTCCAGACTGCTGAGAACCAAGCCTGTGTGTACTGGCTCAGCCCAGGCGATGTCATACGATTGGGCAGTGGACGGAGGTGTTTGAAAATTTGGCCCGGCAGCGGTTCACTTCCTCTCAGACTTCCTTCTAAGATCAACACGTCCATCGCGACCACTGGACCCGGTAGCGCCTCGAATTGTCCTGAAGTTCCCAGGCACCACCGAGTTTACGAATCAAATCTTTCCGGATCCCCACCGTCAACTTACGAAAATGCCCCACCTCTCGTGTCTAGGATCGGGGATGTTAGCCACATGTCCACTCCAGTGACCTTTTTCTCTCCACTCATACATTCGCCAATTTCACATTTGCCTGAGGTACGTAAAGTTCCTGCGTTTCTCCTGTGTTTTCTTCTGCACACATTCACTCTCTTCTTCACACACTTCATCTGTTTAGTTCACTCGACGTCCTGGTCCATTCGTGCACACGAAGTCCTCTCTCACTTTTACACCCGTCCCGGCTGCAGTGGATCGCATTTCTGTTTCGTCCTCTTCTCTATCCAGCAATCCAACAACCGATGAGCTCCCCTCCTCACCCAGACCTACTTCTTATGAGCGTCCTATCCGTTCTGACATTGGTACTCCTGCAATCCTCACCGCTACAAAGTCTTCCACTCGTCTGTTGGAAACTGGTCTCTCTCCTATCGCTCCTTTACATGGACGATCCTTCGAAACTGGTTACACACCTAGCACCTCAGTTTCAGTCCACATCGAACAAATACCTCCTTTCCGCCCAATTCCTTCAACAACATGGACTGGCAACAAACTTCCCACGTTGTCAGAGAACAAGCGCACCCCAGGCCCAGTCACCACACCTGGTAAGTTAGCGCCGTTGCCCCGGAAGGTCCTTGCCTTCCTCCTTGCTGTGCACAGTGTTGGCATCAAAGGATGGGTTATTTATTTACCTCTCAACTTGGTACTTGATCATCATTCTCCCTCAGATCTCACTATAACCATTCCGTTAATATTTTGTCGGTGGTCACGCCAGCCTTCTTTTTGCCCTATGCATCTGTTAGGCAGCCAACAGAATTCCCTTTCTGAGTCATTGGAACGAAATTAACGAAGCGGTTGTCATCCCCGTGTCGCGCAACTTCTGTCTGGACCTATCGGATGTCCGTTTGATCAGAACACCTTAGAACATAATCGAGTGGTTGAGTTCCCGACTAGTCGTGTACTACTGCTGAGCGTTGCGGAGTGGATCGGTACGTAATCCTATGCGTGCCGCTTGGTGCTTCGTAATTGAGGCGCTCAACGGCACTACATCGTTGCATCTCCACGCTACCTGTCCTCAGCACTGCTAATCAACTCACCTAGGTGATAGATCATTCCGCTTGTCTGGGTCATCATGTCGCCTCTGGCGGTTTCTCACTTATGGAACTCAAATGTCGCCTTGTCATGGTTCGTGTGGTTTTCTAACATTTGTCACTTATGCAGGTGGCGCAGTGTAAGCTTTTTGTTTTAAATGGTGTGCTCATTTGAGTTCCGTTCAGTTGCACAACTATGATCTGAGCACTGAACTGCGCCGGATACATTTGCCACGATTCACATCACCAGAATAACAGTAAATAACAAAACAAGAAAGTGAGTTTGAATGCATATATAATGTACGCGAAATAGTATAGGGAGGTATGTTAGACTAATCGGTATGGAGTGAGCATTAGCAACTAAATGCAAGAAACCGAATGCATACGCGCCACTGACTGCGCGAGGTCCGGAAGACCCTCCAGTCACTGGTATAGACAATCCCACGGCTTCTATTCACGAAGACGACATGCATCAGCCTGACCAAGTCCCTCAGACAATTTCTTCAAGAGACCACCTCATCGACTTGCGACCCGGAAGTGTCGCCCAGTCTGGTGCAGCGAGGAAGCAGAGCCACGAGTACACAGAGAACATGACGTAGTCAACGTGAGCAGTTCCGAGTAAGGTAACACTCTGTTGTGGCTTCCGCTGATCGTAAGGACATCGTGCTGTTGTTACGCACTCTGGACCTACCGACTTCCCAGATCAGAAAACAAAGGATTCTGGCAAAACGGTATCGAACACCCAGCAAGTATTATGTACAAACAGATAATGGGGTTAACTAAACAGTTAATTAGATAATGCCCTAACTGGAAGTTCCTGGATTTCAAGAACTACTAGACATCTGATAATGCACTTGTTCGTTGCCGAAATAATACTCTCACTGGCAGGCTTCAAGGTATATCATTCTCATAGATCACCTTCAAACTGAAACGTCCTCAAAGGCTCGTTCTCTTAGTTTGGCCAATACTCTTCAGAATGCATCAGGGTCAAACTGATCCGGGTTGCTAGCGAAGGGGCGGGGGCTCTTAAGGTTTCTATGGACAGCCTCAAACACCCGAGTGAGGCACCAGATGTCTTCTCGCCGAAAACCAACTGGCTCTTCCGGTGTTCCCACCAAACGTGAACAATACTTCACAAACACCGATGATCAAAGAGTACCAATTGTTTGTTGTCTGCACTGCGAACTGGCCAGATCTCTGATCCATACAGTAACACCGGCCTTATCGCAGTGATAAATACCTTATCTTTCATTAAGAGGCTGGTACCCTGCCATCTGCATAAGTAGTTAATTCTCTGGAAAAACGGTGTAATCGGTGCAACCACATGGATCATTGAGCATTCCGGAAGGTTGCCGTGTGCATTGCGGCTGCATTTTCTCACCTGTTTTACTCGAACCACTCAAGCCAACCAATTGCTGAGTAGTCAGAGCGTCTGTCTTTTAATCCACTTATTGCATTGCTAGTTGTACTCTTTTCGGTAATTGTTCAATATATATATATATATATATATATATATATATATATTTTGGCGCCGGTGTGACATTTTGATCAATAGGCATACTCCTTTTTTCCTTCGGCCACCGGCTGACCTGACGCGGTCAGAGAGAGAATGGGAGAGACCACGGGAAGGTAAATCGCGGTTTGTGATTATGATCTTTCTGATTCACCACATCACTGGTTGAATATCTTCTGGATATGGGGCAGCCACCAAATTGTTGGCACTGGTTCCCTAACCCATAATTACTCCATCGGATGATTTTTGCCCTGTACGTTACTTGTCCTTTTTGGAACGATATTTGTATTAATAGTATTATCTAGGCGATGTGAGGTACCCTAATTGGCTTCGCCGCGTTTCAACGCATTTAGATTTATCGCTCGAACATTTCGGTCCGTTGTCTCATTGCGTTTACTTTCCATGCGTCCCTTTCTACTCTCATCTGCTGTTCTATGTTAGCCTTATTTTTGGCGAACAATAGCAACCGATTTTGCGGCATAAGTTTCAGACTGTGCTGCTCTATTTCCTAAAAAAAGACCTTGGCCTCAATTTTTCTCCAGGCTGTCTATGTTGCGTTAAAGTTACATGTGATATATTGCAGTTTGTCCAGTTTCCGCGCCATTTACTTTAACTGTTTCCACTTAATTGATTTCCTGTCGGTTTTTGTCCAGCTCCCAATCCGCCTGACCCCATCTCCAATGTGCCGGAGTCCGTTTGCTCGCGTTTTCCATCCCTCTCCTCTTCCGATATTAAACCTTCTATGGACAGCAGATCGCATCGTCCGCGGTCCGGATCCACCATTTCCGATCGTCTTCCTTGTCAGTTGGCGTTCGCACCTGGTACAGTGGCACTGCTGCTAGACTGGGTCATCAAACACTCCCTTGCCGCTCAGTTCTTTCCGGATGATTCGACACCTCCCGATCTCAGCACCCCACCTTCCTCCCTTGCAGAATGTCCGTTGGGACCCGCAATAACAGTATACCTAATGCTCCGTGCCATTCACCGCCAATGTGATCGCTGGGAAATCATAGAGGCGAAACAGCTGGCGAAACACTCGAATTCCACGGAACAGTCAAGCACCGCTCCGAATAATAACCCGGTGGAATCAAAAACATTTTCCCTGAATGATCCAATGCACGTAAGCAGCCGTTTGTTTTACTGCTGTGGTCTCTAGCGTGTTGCACACGTGATTGCCTTAGCGTCAGCTCATTATTTGCACCACGTTTTCTATCGTCCATTTGTGTATCTCCTATTCTTCTTCATCCATTGCAACGGATTCCGACTCTTCTTTCGCTCTTTTCTATATATATACCCATTTACCTGACACTGCGAATTGATCCGTCTCATGCGGCGCTCATATTTTTCCTATCCAAGATGGGAAGCATAAATGCATCCACCTTTGTCATGCATCTATTTTCAAAAGATCTCATTTCACAACGTCCCCATAGTCTCTACGACTGCAAGTGTTTGGTCGAACTGTTTCCGCATACATTGCGATTGACATCCGAGGCTACACGATGAGCGGAATTCCTCCATCCGAACACTGTTCGACCCCGAATGGCAATCAAGTGACTCGTGACCAAGTACCCAATCATGGTATTGCTCAGCTGTGCGAGCAAATCAACGTCTCTACATCAAACCCGAGCTAATTATATTTCGGCTTATTGTACTACTCATCTGTGTACGAGGTTTAGGATACTTTTCACATGGATATTCAAAAAGCAATCTACAAAAAAATTCAAGCAGTGTATCTGTCATAATTGTTGCTGTGGGTAAGGTTTTAGCAACAACATTGAGATAAGTGCATTTCAACATTTGGAAACTTGAGGTCAAGATGGGGTTCATGCTTTGGTGTTCAGGCTATGGGTAGCTGAAACTGGGGGTAGAAAGAAAGGCTAATGGAATATCTAAGTGCAAGAAACGTACGATAAAAGATGATGACGGAACATAAGTTGGCCCCGAGGTGTCAAACAAGCTAACTTCTTCGACATATCATGCTAACACTAAGTATCACCATACGCCGGTACGCAGTACCGACGCTTCGCTGCCGCGCAACCACCAATAGTCACACGTGGGTTAAACATACTGCGATGGTACCCCGGTCCCCTAAGCGGGCTCGGACACGCGCCCTCGGATTACAAGGCAGGCTTGAGATCCTTTAGGCTACGAGTTTGTTTGATAAATCATTAGCAGATGGAAAAGATTTAAAAGGGTCGATTCCATTGCCTGCTAGAGGTAAAACGCATGTAAGTGAAATTGCATTTAAGCATATCACACGAGTTTACATTTTGGGTCTATTGACAATGACGATAGCGCTGAGAAACAAAGTACCTTCAGAGACCTGCGTAAAGTGCGACACTGATTTGGGGCTATTTGCAGAATTTTAAATGGTGGCGTTCAGCAATAGGGTTGTACGTTGCGTTCAGTGAAAATTACGACCAAGTCAATATCGCCTTATTTTTTGGGTAACTACAGGTTTTTTCTCTCGGAGTAAAGCATTGTAAATGACAGAGTTAGACTTTCACAGTTATTGATCCACATATCTCACCACTCAAAATCATCATCCATTGTATCAAGGTTTGATCGGACCACATGGAGACAGAAGATGATCATCATCATCATAAATATATGTTAGCTGTGAGAAACACACCGCGGATAATATGTCGCTAATACAAAAGCTAAGGTATTAAACATCACTGAGTGTAAAAGCTTCCAAAATTAAGTGATATAATGCTAAATATCATATTATGCATTTAGCATGGGATTGTTGTTGGAGGGCGAAGTTAAAGGGGAGTGGCGGTACAACGAGAATCACAACACAGACACCATTGCGGTCGGCTGTTCACCATATCAGCTAGTGTATCCAGCCAAACGCGTTCATCGTTCTTCTCTCCCCAGCCAGGCAGTCGGGAGACACCAACCTCGAAGTGAATGTTTTCACTCCTCTTGACAAGTCATCCCTGGGCCTCCTCTCCTCCTCTTCCCTCCAAACTCCCAGCGCGCAAACAACGCACGTCGCAGGGGTCGGTATGCTAGCATGCGCAACACGTGGCCCAACCATCGAAGGAACATAAACTTGAGAACATGGTCCCCAACCTGGGAGACAGACAGATCCAGTTGACGCTAGACATGACGTGAAGTGGTTCATGTTGTTCCGAAGGAACGTCGACAACACCTCATGCCTAGCGTCAATCGGATCTGTCCATCTCCTGGATTGGGGACCGCATGATACGAACTCCCAGCGGTTGGGATGTTTTTCGCTCGCATCGGAAATACATCTCTGCTATTTCTTTTTCATCTAATGTTCAATTTTATACCAATTCAGAATGGCATGGGCGGAACATCAGCAAAAAATCGACCCTCATTTTGATACCGTTTCCTTCTATTTGTTGGTCGGAGTCCGGTGTATTTTTGGTTCTGGTACACAGTTATCGTTCACTTTTTTCTATGCCATCGCCTACCTAGCAGTCTGAGACTGCTGTGAACCTCAAGTCGAGGATCAAACGTTAATGTAGATTCGGTTCAAGTGACCATAGAGATTTTAGTTCAAATGCAACACAACATTCACGGTAGTTTGTGGCTTAGGGAACATTTAAAAAGTGATGCTTTTTCAGAAGGTTTTGTATACAAATCGGTTTTTGGTAGAGTTTTATTGTGGCAACGTTTCGCCCTTGACACAAGAGCTTCTTCAGGCCAGGTCACCTGGCCTGAAGAAGCTCTTGTGTCAAGGGCGAAACGTTGCCACAATAAAACTCTACCAAAAACCGATTTGTATACAAAACCTTCTGAAATCATGAAATCACAGTCGGTTCCAAACATATTCCAATGATGCTTTTTCTTCTCACATCCCGAAAGCACTTACATTACATCCTTTGAGCCTTGCTAGGACAATGGTAGACAGGTCCATTGCGACTTTTAACTCGTGCGTTTGATTCAATTGTCGTGTCGGTTCAGTATCTTCCTATTTCTGTTTGACACATCGGCTCTATCCTGCTATGTGATCTTTCGCTCTGCTCTCTTTCTTCCCCATCCTTCTCTGCGCTTTTCGTTGGATATCGTTTGTGCAATCAAGAAAGCATTTGTTGTCGTCGCCTTTTTAGCTATCTCTTCATTTCGTGACACTTGTTTTAGCCATCGAAGATCAAGTTGGCTACTCACCAACTCCGACGTCGACGACGAGAGCTGCTGATCTTATTGGCAGGTGCCGTTGAACGATTGGAGCAAGTCGGCACAATTTTTGCCACTTCTGTCGAGCGTTGGCATTTGTGGTCCCCTCCCGTTTCTGGCACCGACTGGGAGACAAAGTTTCATACTCTGTTACGCTCAGTTGCCGCATGGTTGTCCAACGCGAGCCAGCTGCTCCATTTGGTCACGCGGGATGTGGATTTTAGTAAAACCTTTGAGGTACCTATATCCATTTAGTAGAACTATCTGAGTTTAATTTGTCTTGGGACTTTTTCAACCAGAACCTTTCCACTTCGAAATGCATTCTTAAATTTTGAGCCCCTCCGTCTGGGATCCATAAGAGGGTAGGTGGCAACTTTTCGCACCATTCTTTAACTTTACATATCTATCCATCTGTCTCATTACCACGACCCCTGGGGCTGTACGACGGTCTACCAGAATTACACCTCTAGGTTTGTCGTGGTGCTCATGACTTGCTCTAACCCTCACTTCCTCTTCATTCCAGTGATCGGTGCCTCTTAGAGCTAGGTTTGTGCTTGTTCACCGACTATACGGACTATACGGCTCTCTTAGCATTTGGTCCAGAGAACCACACGCTTCGGCATTCACTCAGCACTTCAGAAACACAGGTACCATCGCCAGACTTGCTCACGCAACTCCGATTCTCGGGATTACGGAACATCCACTTGGCGTGATCGATCGAATCGCTTATCTACTTCACTGTGTAACCTTTAGACGTAAACAGCACGAAGCCCACCGTTAATGGCTACACGGATTTCCATCACCTTAACCATTTACGTAAGAATAGAGAAGCTCGCCTCTTCCAGTTAGACCAGTGGAGCTGTGCCCACGCAACCAGGCATGGACTCACAGGTACACAGTAGTTACTTGGCAACCCACATGTTCACGCTGATATCCACTTAATTGTAAAATTCGTGTCACACGCATGAAAGCATAGAATCTACACGTTTGCCTTTGGTTTAATCTTTTAAAGCCTAACACTTAAGACTCATTTTCTCTTTGGCCTTCGGTTTGGTTGGGCGCTTCGTCTCCGTCGCACAATTTCTCCCGCGCGCGTGAGGTTACTCTGTTGGATGTTAACCATTAACATCGTTCTGTTCGATGGTTACGATTCTGGAGGCTACCGTCTACCCAACTTCTAATTTCCGCTACTCTGCACTTGGAATCTAATACGAGACGATCATTTGCCCCATCCGAACAGGAGCAGTGTGCAATAACCACACGCTATCTGCACAACATTGACGTTTGGCCGATCTCACTGTATACGTCCAAAACATGATCGCGGCCTGTGGAAAGCACTTGACAAACTGCCATGATGCGGTTGTTTTGTTGTTACCCCAACCCCCTACCGCGCATTGTTTGCTGTTGATGTGGACACATGTTAGCTTTTTTCCTTAGGCGTTGTTTGTCGCATATCCAAATTACTCCTCTCTGTGTGTCCAGATTGGCTCCCCACTCGGCGTTTCAAATCCGGACGATGACGTCTCCGCTCAGTCCACATGGGCTGTGGTCCAAGACCAACTAACCGACGTTGTACAGACAGCATTCGGGTTCCTCACAGATATCTGCGTGTCACGATTGGATCGAGAGAGTATTCCGAACCTTTTATTGAAATTGACCCGTCTGGTCGAAAACCACTCCCTCGCGTCCAGTCTCCCGAATGGGGATGACGGAATTTGTTCCGCAGACGAGAGCACAAAGGATCCATCTACATCAGATGTTAGTCTGTTCACATCTTCGCCATCCTCTTTGTCCATTCGTTTCTCGTTTTGCACATAGATGCGTTTGTTATCCATTCTGTTGGTCGTTGTGCTTGTCGTTCAGCCTGAACACAGAGCTCTGTTAAAAGATTCTGCCGTAGTTTTACATGCGCCGGATATTAGACCGGTTTAGATGATGTCTAGTTCATTAGGATAGGTTTGCGAGCAAAGTTTCAGAGGTTAATTGCCGAAACGATCGAAATCACCAAAGCCTATGGCTGTGCAGTTGATCTCTCGACTACGTGGAGGGCAATCTTAATCCGGTCAGTCTGAGGAACGTCGATACGTGGGTTAGGTTGTTTTACGAAGACCAACATCATCATCCTCGTCACCAAGACCGCAATTGTCAACGCGACGGACGTGGAACGCCTGGAATAATCCCACGTTGACTGGACCACCTGTCCGTACTAGTCCCTTGACTCATATCCCGGTTATGCATAGACTTTCGTGGTATTTGGTCTCAGTCAGACAGCCATCACAGGGCCGGAAACGCACTGTACAACGGTTTCATCGTTTCACAAGTTATCAGCGGTACGCACTCCATCCGTCCCCCGTCTGACTGCGTCTAGCTATGGTGAACCACTACTTATACTATTCAACTCACCCTACTATTTCCTTGTAATCATGCCTCGGTTGTCACGATTATCTCCCTCACCAGCTATAAAATGCTACATCAAATATGTATTTATTCACCTGGCTTGACTAAACTTTTGTGTCAAAGCGGAACATTAGTAAATAATTACATCAGCTGAATGTTGAGAAATCTCTCTGAAACCTCAACTTCTCTATCGGTTCAAAGTATATATACCAATAGTTATGCGATCCTTGTTTTCATGGAGTTCGGACTTCCTACGATCATCCTGTACCGGTGATCTTGTTAGGCGACGAATTATCAAACTTGCTTTGCATGGACGACATTGATCTCCTGGAGTTCCACCCAGCTGCTAATTAACCGGAACGCTGTTGCACATTTACCCTCTTTATTTATTTATGTATTTACTTACTTACTTTACTTACCTACCTACTCACTTACTTACTTACTTACTTACTTACTTACTTACTTACGTATTTACTTTACTTGCTTACTTACTTACTTACTTACTTACTTACTTACTTACTTACTTGCTTACTTACTTACTTACTCACTTACTTACTTACTTACTCACTCACTCACTTACTTACTCACTCACTTACTTACTTACTTACTTACTTACTTACTTACTTACTTACTTACTTACTTACTTACTTACTTACTTACTTACTTACTTACTTTCCTCTCTTTACTTTCAGCGTATTAGCCTGCCAATATTGGTTCAGCCATCAATAGCGCCGGACAACAAACTCTCGAAATGGTGCATCGGTTTGCGTGTCCGGGTATCTTTGTCCTCTCTGTTGCTCACATCACTGGCGCACACGTTGCTGAGGCCGATGGTACCAACCAAATTCTTCGTCTTTTACGGAAACGACTAGCAATAGTTCTAATGGCTAAGGGAAGAGTTTACAACGCTGGAATGCGACCAGTTCTGATCTAGCTGTTATGCACTGATGGTACTTGGGGATTGGCTTATTTTAATCACGGATGTCTGGTGAAAGCACTCATTAACCAATACAAAAGTTCACCATCCGACATTTAGCGTTAGCCTCCCTAGTTTTTCATTGGTGTTTAACTCGAATTACCTTCGCCCTTTCACACACCTACAAGCATGCTGCTTCGATGTTTGACGCCTGACAATGCTGCGCTACTCAACGACACAGACGAACCCGAAGGATCTCACCGAAATGCTGAATCGGGTTGTTGGTTGTCGTTCACTAAGCACTACCCACAAAGTGTGGAGCTGCTTCTAAGTGAGCGAGTTATTGACTTGGAGTATGCCAAGACATTATCCTAATCTGTCACTGTTCCCAAATGTACCAAGCTGCAGTGGTTAAAGTAGCTGTGGCTGTCAATCGTTTTGGCCTGTGCTTTGCACCCTCGAAATCCAAAGTTCTTCTCCAAGATGAGCAGGGAACCAACCCTACAATGACCCTTGGTAGTTATCAGCTAGAACTCGACCAGAAATTTAAGTATCTATGCAACTGTACTATCACCTGTGGAATAGAAGATTAGGTCACAAACCGCATATCAAAAACTCGTGGTGTTTTCGCCAATCTCCGCCACTTCGGGCCTTTGACTCAACCTCGGTTTCGCCCTGAAGGGCAGAGTTTACAATGCAGCCGTCCGTTCAACCCTCCTGTACGGGTGCGGATTATGGCCCATCAGCTCGACAGACATAAAGTGGCTAGCTACGTTCGATCATCGCCACCTTCGCAGCTTAGCTCATGTATGGTGCCGGTACTGCATGAGCAATGAGCGTCTTCGTCGTCGTGTATTTGGTGCAGAAAGAGCGAGTGTATCGCTCAGTACCATTATCTCACGCAACAGGTTCCGATGGCTGGGCCATGTGTTGTGCATACCAGCCCACCGACTCTCATGACGTGCGTTATTTGCGCGCCGGGGGTGTGGATGGAAGAAGAGAAAGATAGGTCAAGCGATGACTTGGTCAAGTGGGATGAAGTCCCTCACTTCGCAGTTAGCTTCGATTTTTGTCTCCCGACTGCCAGGCTGCGGTCCGAAGACCATGAACACATTTAATTGCATGCACTAATTTACATGACTAGGAGCCGACTTCAGTGGCGTTTTTTGTGCGTTTCTCTATCATCCCCCCACTGATCTATATCTTATCTATTTGTTTTGCCTCACGTTGGCTTAACTGTGTTTTTCGCCTTTAGTTAATGTGTACTACTGATGCGGCTGCTGCAACTCTCTCACACTGTATTCTTGCAGCGCATCACCAAGCTTTTTCTGCACCTTTTCTCCGCCGCATACTATCCTATTCTTAACCCTTTCTCACGATGTGGAAATCTCACTTCTTTACTCCTTTTGTGTTCAACTCTAGCCTCGCACTTTTTCATGCAATTCACCCATAGCAGTCGTTCGTTGCCTTAGGTGTGCACCAACCTTTGTAGCACTAAGCATCGCTAAATCAACCTGCGTTATTCGCATCAACCTTTATTCTTACTTTCTTTGACTCGGATATTGCTCATTGTGATGTTCTGTCGACGGATCTTGTATCCCTTTGGTTTTGTTCACGCCTCACTCTCTTGCTTCCACTTTTCCATCGGGATCTCACTGTAACTGCTAGATTCAGCAATGCAAATGCGAGATGTCTACAATCTGTCCTTTGGTTGTTATGTGCTGTATCATCAGTCACGTTACCTGGATTCAGCGAATAATCCACGTCATGACCTCTTTCTCGCGAAACTGGGTTATTTGTCCCCAACTAGGGACCAAGACCACGGTATTAAGCGTTGTGTCATATCTTCGCCCAACGAGTGCATTCGACTTCACCTGAACTTGTATTGCTCTTCCTTTTCCGATCTCTGGTACGTCACGTGATTTGGCTGATCCAAGTGCAACATCTGGCCTGTGCACTGTCGGCTCGCTCCGTCGTCTACACATGGTCTTCCTTCAATTTAATTCCTCACTTCTGTGGATTTGTTTCTTCAAGACTCTACTTATTTCGTTGTTTGTTCATTTTAACTTCCCGTCCGGTCTCTGATCTAGTGATGCTTCTCGGATGTTAGTTTTATTCCAAAGATGACAACCGAGGCACGTTTATTGTGCAAAATATACATCCATTCAACCATCATTCAAGGTTAGTATATCCTCGGGACATTTTGATTGCAGCACGAGACCTCGGCTTAGACCACGTTAATCTCCTTTATTGGAACCGCTTCTGAAAAGTATTTGAAACCTAACAATGATTTCCAAGCATCATCTTCCGAGGTCAGTGGTCAAGAGGTCAGAATGCAAAATACGATAAAGCTGGTTATGGACGGGAGCAACGCCTAATAGCATTCAGTCATTTGTATGCGCCTAGTGTGTCTTCTCATCGCAGGACTGACTGTCCTACTCAGCGACTAACGCTCGGACCGATACTGCTGAGTGGTCACGCTTATCAGTTCTCATCGTTTTGCACCCGTTATACCTTCACGCCTATTTAACCGTCTGTCTATGTTTCACCCCTTCCTAGTCAGACGCGACTCTCCGGATGCTTACCGAAACTCTGGACTCACTTCACTTGGCCCTGGTGAATCCAGCCTTCGTAGTCCAGTTGTTCGCCCGCTTACTGCACAGGTTGAACGCGCGTCTCTTTAACTTCATCCTTGGCTCTCCCAGCGATTCCACCACAACATCGCCTCCTGATGCTTCTGCTGCTCACGTTTCTCCCAGCTGGGGTTCAGTATTGCAGCACTGGATCCATGAATGTTTATGTGTTTGGGCCGCCAGTCAAGGTCTGGGTGTCGCCGCCGAGTGCTATTTGCAACGAGTTAGCCAAGTGAGTTTTTTTCTCTCGTTTACTATGCATCTCTTGTCTAAGGCGAGCGCTTGCTAGCTGGCTTGACCTGGGCGCTGTCCGCTCTACTTATTACCTCTTCCCATCACGACTTTGCAAGGCTCCGGTTGGTTATTCTGATGAGGATTCAATGACCATTGCAGAAGATCAAACTTCTTTCGATCTTGCTGATATTTCTCACTTCAGCGAATACAAGCCCAGTTGGTTTCTTATCTCTACGCTTCAGCAATAGGTGGCACATCCTGCTCTCTACTGGAATTCATCAGTTGTATTAATCATTTGGGTCCACTTCGTGACGTCTACTCTGACTCAATCACCACCGGTGTCTGTATTATCTGTAGCAGCAAACAGCAATGAAGCTGTTATAACGCGTCCTAGTTGTTTCGACACTTAGTCGGAACGGATGAACGTTTTTCACAGATAGTACCCCACGCGTGCAAAGTAACCAATCGAATTCGGAACGTTGTTGCTAACGAGACCTAGCGGCCACATGTACAGGCGAGCTGAGACTGGAGACGAATCATGCGTAACCTAGCACGACTACACTGGGATCCGAACGATAAAGAAACATTGGACGTTAGCAAGAGTATTTTTACTGACTCAGCCAACTCGAAGCATGCTTTATGTGCCTCCATTTTTATACCTCAATAGAATGTCACTGTAGTGCACAAATTATAGAGAAAGGTGGATATTGGTAGGGCACATGAATTGTCTCAAGTGGTGCAATCTCAGTATCAATATGGGTTTGTGCGGTAACTGCCTCATCAACTGAGGATCTCAGGTGGTTCAGTGCGGCATGACACCATAGCGATAGTAGCGTCATGAAAAGGGTTCACTGGGTTCACTGCAGCTTGCACGGTAGCTGCATCAGTTTCCTGAGTAGAGCTCGGTTAGTTCCTTGTGGCGGCATCAATGTCCTGAGGACGGCTCGGTTGTTAGTAGCGCTGTCTGAGTCATCGCCTAATGATGATATGTCTAAGGTTAGACCGAAGAAATCTGCGCGTCACCAGCTATTCTTATTTCGATTTCAAGCAATTAGCCTCAACGTCAGTGGACATCACTTTAGGCGATCATTAACAAGTGTGCGGGAAAAATGGGCGGATCTACGCTGCTTCACCTCCCAGTTTCTTTTCTACCCACGTTGCCACTCATTCATCGAAATATTAAAGCAAACTGACTTCCTTAACCAACACCTGCAATCCGAACGGGATTAACTTTTCTGATATTAGAGCCAAGGGGCGGTTGACCGCCTAATCTCTGATTACCACGATGTTTTTTCTCGATACTCATTGTCACAGAAAACGGTCCTTCAGGGTGAATCTGTTTACTCAGCGCAAATGACAACATAACTAGCCTGTAGATGCTTCGATATATCTAACTAGGGCGCTTCAACAACCAACGACGTTTATGTGTGTCAAACTGAGGAGGCGCATGGAGAGCAGAGGAATCGTGGATCGCCGCGGGCGGAGGACGTACGGTGCACAAGTCACCCATAAGAAGGACGCATGGTGCACAAATCTACCTCCACCGGTGCGTTGTGAATGGAGGGGCGCAGCGGAACCGAGTTACAACGGTACCACGTAGAAAGTGCGCACATAGGCCCGTACTGTTATGAAATCTAGACGTGGGTTCTCTAAAACAACTCGTCTGCATCGCGTTGCGTTCTCCACAGTGGGACCACATTTCAAGCTAGTTTTGATTAGGTGATAACTTACTAGCGAGGTGAGTTATCAAGACTCCGGGAAAAGAGCGGACGACTGTTTTGTCCTTTTATGACCCTTCAGGAATGAGTATTCGGTCGACTATGTCATCTGAGGTCAAAACACGGTGCACGACTCCTAGGAGTCATCCGTTAAAGCTACAAACCCACTGGAGCGGCAACGGCTGCTATAGCTAACAATCTGATCGTGATGCAATATGACTCGCTCTCCGTCGACAGTGCACCGCTATCCGTCCATATGATAATGTGATATCACCCGACAGACAGGCTTCCCAAACGAATCACTGACTATCCGATCACACTTTCATCTTGATCACCTATCTGTCAAGATTACTACTGTCATAAAACACTCGTACATCGTCCGAAATTTACCTTTTTCCTTATGTCTGCTCTGTAGGCATACATCGCTTACGTGGGGACCTTGTCTATTTACCGGTAGCCTTTGGGGCGCTCATCTCTCGCCGTTCTCGCACACTCGACCGGAGCGGTTGTGCAGCTTTTACGGAATCAGCGACTACTGGCAATCGACCTGCAAAGCTTGTTTAGTCGGTTTCGTCACTGATTTCGAATTGGGGTGTCTGATGCATACGGACCGCCTACGTATCTCCCGCAGATCGGTTACCCGAGCATGTATTGTTTACTAGCAATGCGACGGATGCGATCTGTTTGGCAAAGCTCCAACGTGACCAGTCGGTGAGGTTGCAGTGGAGCACAGGTGGACAGGATCCTCGAGATAGTCCAAATGACTGGTTTGACTCCCTGTCAGATGTAACACAGTCACATGACGACTGATTTCGTTGTTTTTTCTCCATTTGTAACTATCTACAATTCGTCAGCATTTCGTATGCCATCTGACTGTCCAGTGAGCGCCGCTATATCACATCGTGTAACTTTTACACGATAGCTCAGTGGTCTCAGCCACGGACTGGCAACAACCGAGTTGCTGGTTTGAGCCGCCCCATATATGGGGTCGGATGGAATGCGCACTGCTGACGATTCCCAAAAGTGGGTGAAACGGGCTTACGGTGCTTTTCCGAGCGTGTAATGGTTGTCGTATTGAGCCTGTATATGTGATGAACTTCTACCCATACCATACAACCCTCCCTTGTACTACTCACTATTCCGTGCGATGAATTATTTTGCCGTCTCCTCTTCTTTACGATGCCAGTGAGAGCAACTGAATCCACTGCATCTTGATGCGCGCACGGATCATCGTTGATCAGTGGGACCGAATTGATCCCTTTCTGGTGCTTATGTTATGCGCTTTTTTGCCGCTCGATTCTCAGGCCGCGGATCTGATGTTGGCCGATGTGAGTTCCGTGGAAAATCTGTACAATGTGGTGGTCGATCTGGCCGGGTTGAACTCCAGACAAGTCGGGTGGTTGTTGTCTGCCTACCAACGCACTGAAACTACCGCGGATGCTCAGAACAGCCCTGTGTTTCGAATCCCGGAGAACTGGATCGGCTTTGTTGTCTCAGGTGTGAAATTGGTAAGAGGCTACTTCACCCTTCGTAACCGATTGCCTACACGGCCTCGTACGTTGTTTGTTTTACTCTTAAGAATTTCTCGACGCAGGTGTAGTTGATAAGCTGTAAGTCTCGCTCCTTAACCGCAAGTGTTACTTTATGCTCGCTTCTCCATGTACTCCGTCAACCTTACGATTATTAGAAATCCTCATCGTGGTTCGATGTCCTCCTCCGACTATTCGATGCTGTATCTTCACTAGTGTAGACCAATCTATTGGTTCGCTGGAGACTTACTAGCACTTTCAACTTCTTTTTACGGTAAGATGGCCTCTAGTTCCAAAGACAGTTAACACTCGATATCCAATGAATCTCTAGCTTCCGGATAGCGTTTTCTCACGTTTCGCCCTTTTAACTTTCCTGTTCGCCCGTTTTGTTCATTATTGCCCAATCACAGGGACCAAACCATTGTTCGAGTTGGACACTCACATCAGGCTCTTCCACAGTCCATTTTGTTGCTTACAACACCTCGTTAGTCGCCATACGTAAGCCTGAACTTCTCATGCACCATGTCGTGTCGTCCGGATAGTTCCCTCACTATGAGACTGAACACTGACTGCACTTCACCTTTCATTCTTTCTTCATACCTTGCGCAACTCTTGCGAGTAGCAAAATGTTTGCTTCCACCGTCATGTCTCATTTCAATTGATTACTTTACTGTTTCCCTGCACAGGTGGCTGACCGTATTTTGGCTGAAGAGGAAACCCATTTATCTGCAGATACTACTTCGGAGGATGAAAGAACCTGGGATCCTCGTCTGATGGAAGAACTTGACCTGCTACTTCCTTTGCTCCTTCCCGAGGACTCCTACCCCTCTGACAATTCCATCCCATTCGAAGCGTCCGAAGATCCCACAAGCTGCGACAGCGGTATATCAAGCAGGCCAAGCTCGTCCACTGACCGGGGCTCCCGTGGGTTGCCCCCATTCACTCACTGCGTCGTCGAGCCACTGATTCTGGTGGAATCGGTTCGCAAATTCCTAACATTCGCCCTTACTGCCGGTTGGTGCCGCTTGTCCGTCCGTCCCATCTGTGATCGTTCCCCCCATGGTTCCTCCACACAACGCCTCCACTGGAATGTCTACCTCCGGCCGGCAGGTGCTACATCGCCTGTCTCCTCATCGAATTCGCCTGCGCCCTCAAGTGGCATTGACGGTGACACACATCCGCACAACATAGCCGCTCCCTTGAGGCGGGCATCGGATCACTTGATTGCGCCGACACCATCCACAACAGTCCCCGAGAACTCGGTAAAGAAAACTATAGTGTTGGTCCATCACTGTCCTATATAGCAAACATTTCCTCTGTCATTTACAAGTATTCGGTCTTCAGGGGATAATCACACTCCCCTTCACCCGGCTCGTGATTTAACACAAGACTGGTTGTCGAACTTTTGTCTGATGACTATAGTTGCATGATGATGATGATGATGATGATGATGATGATGATGATGATGATGATGATGATGATGATGATGATGATGATGATGATGATGATGATGATGATGATGATGATGATGATGATGATGATGATGATGATGATGATGATGATGATGATGATGATGTGATGATGATGTGATGATGATGATGATGATGATGATGATGACGATGATGATGATGATGATGATGATGATGATGATGATGATGATGATGATGATGATGATGATGATGATGATGATGATGATGAGAACTGAGAACTGGTGGGAAGCAGCGAGTAGAGGTTGCTCTGTGTAGCTGCATCATTCGTCGTTTTCGGACATGAACTTTTTATTTATCGTTTCGCTCTCTGTACTTTGCCTCTGCAAATTGTTGGTCTAGTAGCATCTTGAATTTAGACACTGTGTCGGCTTCTACTATATGCTGAGGCAGGTGGTTCCAGACATTCACCACTCTGCGTTCGAAACAGAGTTGATGGGCGACCCGCTTCAAATCCGGGACGATAAGTTTATACCGGTGTCCTCGCGTGCAGCTTTGTGTGCGCAGATGAAGTAGTTGTCTCAACATGGGGTAATCACCCAGATGTAATATCCGGTGCGTCATGATGAGGTCAACCCTCAGCCGACGATAAGATAGGGTGTATAACCCTAGTTTCTTACATCGGTCTTCGTATGGCATACCTCGTAAGTTGGGAATCAGCCTGGTGGCTACATGCTGCACCCGTTCAAGCTTTTCTACTTCGCCCCGGGTGATGGGACAGTATGCGGGAGTGCCGTACTCCAGCATTGGTCGTATTATCGAGACGAAGAGGCGAGTAGCAATCTCTTCGGACCAAGTGCTAAAGCTGCGTCTGAGAGTCCAAAGCATACGAAGGCTGTTTTGGTACAGCCTATTCGTGTTGTCAATGGACTTTAGGTCACAGCGTGAGAGTACACCGAGGTCGCGCACGAAAGGAGCGGGATGCAACGGTTGACCAGCCACTGTGTACGTTCGGCCGTGATCATACTTACCCAACCTCATGAATTGCGACTTGGCAGGGTTGATCGGAAGATTAACCTCTGCAGACCATGTTGCGAGGCGGTCGAGATCCTGCTGAAGTAAATCGCAATCATTGAGTGTGCGGATTACTCTCCACACTTTCAAGTCATCTGCGAACAAAGCACAATGTGATTGTAGTAGCTGAGGCACATCGTTTATATGGATTAGAAACAATATCGGGCCCAGTACAGTGCCTTGGGGCACGCCGCTGCTCGATGGATACCAGTCAGTTAGATGGTTGTCCACCTGGACTCTCCACTTCCGATCAATAAGGATGATGGTGGTGGTGGTGGTGGTGGTGGTGATGATGATGGAGGATGAGGATGAGGCTGATGGAGGATGAGGCTGATGGAGGATGAGGATGAGGCTGATGGAGGATGAGGATGATGGAGGATGAGGATGATGGAGAATGAGGATGAGGATGATGATGATGATGAGGAAGTGTTAGGATGAAATGGGGAATGCAAAAGCGAACAAGCCGCAAACCGAAGAGGGCCAATTGGGATGGCATGAATGTAAGTGGATATTATCCATTGGAAGGATTGCACACAGGAGCTGCACTGACTTCTTTGCTACACTGTATCAGATGGGATGGTCCCAATCACTGATGCTTCCGGATCTGTGGTACACGCTTATCCCCCGGCATCGGTGTTGATAGCGGTGTCTGCATAAGTGGTCCTCTGAGAATGTAGCCTACACGAGATGACTGCCTCAGTTCCTAGGCTGGTAATCCCTTCAGCGCCATATATGTTAATCCCTAACGCAACATCAGTGCATGTAAGGTTGGCGACGGTAAACATGAGAAAAGAACAGATCAGCACTACGCCGCACGACGCGTTGCTACCATGTTACAACTAGTAGTCGCATGCGGTCTAACGACATTGCGAGGTCACCTGCACCTACGCTGGCTCTAACCAACGACTTTATGAGTGCGATCCCAACCTCTGCACCGCTTGACCAGAACTTGGCAATATTCGCATTTCGAGTTCAAGGTTCGATCCTCAGCCTCTTCGCTCGTTGGCCGATTTACTTACGCAGACTATTTTTGTCACTTGCCACAGTGGTTTAGCAAAACATTGAGGTATGACTGCGGCACCGAAGGCCACATTAAGGAGGCGTTGTTTGGTGATTATTTGGGTGTCCTCCGAATATCCTCCGATTAATCTCTTCGTATGGTCTCTTTTTGTATTACCCAGATGTCTGGTTTTTCTACTCGCTTGGCGTGATGTCATTTTGTTTATCATTTGGCTGTTTGGGGACTCTGGCCCAGCGTTCTCGTCACTCACACCAGAGTGTACATGTGACTTTGCTGCACGCTGACGCTTGTGATATTATCGTCGTCATTTGCATGCAACACTGTGTGCTGATTGGTGCGGTTTTTCTCCCTGAATTGTAGCCTATCCGGATTGGGTTTAATGCTCAGATTTTGATGTTCCCTACGTTTTTATGGATCTTTTTTGTCTCGTGAGATAAGGAAGTGATTTTTGGCCCCTTCCACATTCCCACCCACCTTTCGTTTAACTTCGATTGGCTTATTTGTCCCATACTGCCGCGGCTTCGCCTCATCCCCCTGATTCACCTTTACGCTGGTGGTTAGATGGGCGCAGTTCGTTAACTATCTTTCATTAACCTTTTTACCACAATAGAAGGCCGTAACAACAAATGGCGCGGCGACGACCGATTCGAAACTTGCTGTATTTCAATTCCCCTGTTTGTTTGTGTTGGAAAGTCCTGACCATAAAACCTATCTTTATCTATCTGTTGAACGCAGGATGCCATTTCGTCCAATACTGAACCGCTTATGTCGAAATGCGCGTATCCTCAATATATCTTTCTCGTCTAACTGTGTTCTTCATCCTTTCCTTTCACCGCTTCAGCCAGTGACTTCCGAGACGGCAGATCCGGCGATGCGACCGCCTTCACCGGTTACCACCGGAGTACGCGTGTCTTCAGATACTGCGGGAGGGGACATTGGCTCTACTCCGTCATTTGACCGAGCGTGTTTAGTGTACATATCCTCGTTGTGTTCCAGACATCAGCCTTTTACGGTCATCGTGCCGAAGATAGGACGAAGTCTTGGTCTGAACATTGTTGCCGCCAAAGTAAGTTGTACGGAGGTCTACCAATCCCCACGTCTCATTTTCACACGCAACTATCACAGACTGTTCTAACTTGTGGTCACTATTGTCCACAATAATCATAATGCTATTTATTTGGGTAATCAGCATATCTGCTGCCGAAAAAAACCCTGATTCTCTCCGTACGATATTGGCGACTTTGTAGTTTTTGGTTTCGCCCGGATACAGCATGCATCCCCGCTGCTTAGTTATCTTCCTTTTACAATTTTGACCTCGCTTTTCTCTCTCAAATATAGCTTTTGTTTACCCCGAACATTACCATCCAGGTTCGCTTTTCATAGCCCCCGCGAGGCTTGTTCAGTACGATACTCGCCTGGCAACATTGATGAATCGGCATCTTATGACCTCATTGCACTTTTTGGACTGTAATCTATCTCTAAGGGGGTAGATGTGGAGACATCAGAATAATTACCCATAGTTTCTGCCAGAAGGTGTGATACTATCCGGTTGCCCAATCCGAAGTAGGAAGTTGTCTAGGGGACACTACCCCGAGCCTTTTGCTGAACAGCTTACTTGCACAGCAGCGGGCTTAATTCAGGGAATCGCGCTCTATAGAGGCCGTTAACTGGTTGCTTAATTCAAACGCATTTTCGTCGATCACCGAACAGAGGCTCAGTCCTTCCCACAATTTCAGCAATACGCTGCTGGAGTACAATGCTCCACCGAGGTGAGACGAAAGGTAGTGAATTTATTTAGTGGCGACTCACATGCGCCACGTTACACATATTTGTGGCTTTTTACAGGAAGTATGTTTTTAGACATGAACCCACCACCTCCTAGAACACTACCGCTGAGCCGTTCGATCGAACGGGATAGTCCCGAACTACCCATCTTACACCAAGTAGAGGTTGTTCAGCAAGCCAATTTTCGTGTAACTAATCTGCGATCTATGCACCTGGTTTCGAGTACTCGTTTCTGTCCACACTCGATCACCGTTGTAGTTTCACCACTGGCGTTTGCATAGCAGCAAAGTGTTCAAACAATCTGGCGGTGTAGTGCCGCTATCTTTTTGTCATTCCTGACGCCGACGGGACAAAAACCTTTCTCTCACAGTCTGTGATTCTGTAGTACGCTCAACTTGCAATACTTGATCTGTTAATGCAAGCCAATCCCCGGGGGCTATTTGCTTTTGGTCACGATTGCTTTCGGAGCATTGCCAGTGTGTATTGGCACTATCATACCCGGTAATTATGCCACTTGCCGCTGGAACTTTATGTCAGCAGAATTCTGACAAGTGTTGCGCTGCGTACTTTTATCGCGTACGAGCTCCGGTTACTCGGATGTGTTCCGCGTATGCCTGATCACCTGCTATCACACCGGGTCCTCTTTGATCGTCCTGATGTTAGCTGGAAGCGGCTGCATTGCTTGTATTATTAACCAACAAACCCAAGCGCATCTGGTCGGGAATGCTTTGAGCCGTGTCCGAGAGTTGCCCTCAGTGATATTGCCCTCTTCTCCTCATTATATTGCACGCGAAGTACTCGTTAACCAGATGCAGATTCTAATGAAAATTCAACGTCTTGTCATCAGTTTGGCGTCTTATATGCTCGTGAAACCAGTGGTTATTTCGTAGAGTTGCTGACCTACCTCGATGATGATTTGCTCCGTTTCATCCTTGTGGACCTTAGATTATCTTCTCAAAACGCACTGACTTTTCTTTTCGACCGAATTGACACTTGCTTGTGGTAAGCTCATGTAGTATTCACTGTTTGTTTGTTTCGTCGGCCCGTTGCCTTAAGAATCACAAACCTGCCTTGTAATCGGGTAGAGCGGATTCGAGCCTGTGTACGGGGCCGTATCCTTAGCCCCATCAGGAGATTGAAACATTGGCTCTGGACGATGGTTCAATAACGCACGACATCTGCATATGCGAGGCTATCAACTCTTGTTTTGTCCCCAACACTCAGCCATTTCATCCTCTACTTCCAAAAAGAACGACCGAGCTATACTGCAATATTCCTATGACCTTAAGAGAGGTGCAAAGTGCCATCGTCTCAGTAAAACCCTCAACCCGTTCAGACCCAGATGACATTTCCCCAACTGTTATAAAACTCGGAAGAAAAAACCTCGCTCTACTGTTACTAAACACCACACTTTCTCTCACTACCGGCTGCTGTTTTCTACCTCAGTGGAAGCAATCCATTATAATGCCTAAGCACAAGGGTGGCCCGAGAAATAAAGAAAGTATCAAGTACATCACACCTCTGCTGCTTCCAAATCCCTGGAGAGAATTGTCAAGAAGAACACCGTTCAATATCTTACAAGACTGAATCTGATCAGCCCCTCACAGAATGGCTTTCTCACAAAATGCTTTTGCGTTACCTGCCAGCTACAATTCCTTGATCACGTCACGACCATGATTTATAGGAATGGCAATCATTATAATTCTGTTGGACATGCAGGCGTTCGACCGCGTGCCGCACAAGCCACTGTTGTCTGCTCTAGACTCATATGCAAGTGTCAATCCTCTGCTAAACTGCTTCGACTCATATCTAAACGGTCGAACCCAGGTAGTTAGAATCGCTTAGCAATATTCTACACCTAAACAAATAACCAGCGTCGTCTTCCAGGGAAGTGTGTTCGGACCACTTCTTTTCCTTATCTACGTAAACAACATATGTGACCCGATCGAACATGGACACCCATTTCTGTTTGCAGATGAAGTCAAACTGGTTTACTCATTTCATCCAGACCAACTACAAATACGCCTGAGAAGCATTTGTGAAAACCTATCCGCACTAAATATAGCTAGTGAACGCTTAGTAATGAAGTTCTCCTCAGTGAAATCCCAAGTACTTGGGTACAGATGCCGCATCCCAGAAGACTCTACCACACTTGCCGGAAACATGATCCCAACGTCTGGTTCAGTTCGGCACTTAGGAATTAGGTACTCCAATTCTTTTAATTTCTCCGAAAATGTGCTTTATCAGGTTGCGGAAGCAAGGCAGTTATGCGAATATATCACTAGAACTTTCTCCCTACCTGAAGCACGACTTGAGTCATTCAGGACAATCGTACGACCGACTCTGGAATACTGTACTATCGTTCACAGGCAATTGAGAAAGAAAGACAGAACGGCTCTGGAAAATGTCCAACGATCATTTACCAAGCTGGTCAGTAGGCGTTGCTCAAACCTGAGTTATTATGATCGCTGTCAAAAACTCCAACTAGATCCTCTTTGACTGAGACGCTTAAAGAACAACTTCCTTCTCTTCTACAACACTATAGACCGACGAATTTACGCAGACAGCGCCGCACTTGAACTACGGAAGATTGTAGTCTACTCCACACGTAATGGCGGCTGCTTGATACGCACAAAGCTTGCTCGATCGAATTTCTTCTTAGTGAGATACACTGAGCTGTGTAACAAACTACCCCTACAGATACGCATGTGTACAAGCTATGTCAAGTTTCGAAGTTCCCTTCAGACGTTCCTCACTATACCAAATGTGTTGTAGATATTTGACTCACAGCAAACTCTAGAAACATTGACAGAAGCTGGTATAAAAAACATATGAGCATATATTCGTTTACAACTAGCTTACCCACTACATGCCATTACCTACAATACCAAATCCTGTGTCTGTGTCGCCTAGTATCCCCTCCCTTTTATTATCTACTCCTGATGATACAAACATCCGTAAATTTTACATATTAGGTGCACGGGTCTAGGACCCGAGGAAAAAATCATGATCCGAAATTCTATTAGTAAACTTTACTATTATTATTTACGCCGCATAAACCATGAAACCTACTCACTATACAAATGATCGCTCCCGCTTATGGGGCCGTGTACCGTTTGTCAGTAAATATACACATTTATTTATTTAACGAAGCGTCGGTACTGCATTTCAGCGTACTACTGATACCTTTTCGTTTGTTTCTGTATGCGCAACATTAATAAAGATCACAGTTTCCTTCTACTTGAACCTAGATCAATCCGATTACGTGGACTACATCCGCAGTGAAGTATTTTCCATTTTTGGTTCCTCCAAACACTTCATTCCATTCCGATTTCTGATTGGGACTTCGATTCACCTCTGGGTGTTCCGTCATTGGGGTCTTATCTTAGGCAGCTAATCCTTGAAAGTGCGATCCGAGTACTGCACTCCATGACTTGTTTCGTGCCGGTTTATACTCTTCAGCTACAACCTCAGTAACTAAACTACGAATCGCAGTCCGCTTTAAGATAACACGTCGCATGAGTTGCACACAATGACGCTCCAATCGGTCAATAACCCTTGTACGAAGCGTGGCCCATCGTGACTCGATGACTAAAGGAGTAGAGATTCTAACCAACATCCCAACGGTCCGGGGTTCGAAGCCTGCAGTCTGTACTTGATGAGATCAAACGCGCGCTGGTGTTCAGTATTTTCGGGTGTGCAACATCTAATATTCATCCCATTCACCGGGCTTCTTTTCCCCGCAAATCGCGGTCCACTTTGCGATTGCTCGACGCAATCCTTCCACACAACGAATATCTCAAACTGACTGCTCCAATTGTTCGGAGTTCTTTTTAACCTTGGTCGCCGCCTGTTTGAGATTGACTATCCGGAACCGATAAACGTTTGCAATGGACGCCTGGCTTGCAATCCATAGGCCGTCGGTTCGATCATGTGTCTCTCTAACTCGCATGCGACTGCTCGTAATGGTCGCGTGTCTATGAAGCGTCAGTACAACATTCGGTTGTATATCTGCCCATCCCTCGTCGAACCCAATTTATCAAACCGACCCTACTAAATTTACTTGTCCTGTTTCTCTTTTTCTACCTATCCTTGTCTATTGAGGTTGGTATCCTTTTCCATAGACATTGTGTTTGGGTGTACCCCATGCGAATCTGACCTTGACATTTAACATGTTGATCCGGAACTTTTTGAGACCACCCTTTTCAACATTGCGGTTTGATGGGTTTGATTGTCCCCGCTTTGAAATTATCAGTATATCCAACACATAGCACCTGGGGT